CTGATCTTGAGTGTTGACCTCCTTTTAAAGACTTGTAGGGCTTTGTAGTACACCAGGGGAACCCTTTGTCTCAGCTCCTCAATAGTATAGAACGGGGACCCTTCCAGAAACTTGTTGTAGTCCTCTGGGCGAACAGCTCCAGTGGTCGTGACGCAGAAATACTTTGCTCCGGTACGGGACGCCATAAGGAAGCCGTGGTGGTCCGGTCGACGGGCAAGGTGGAAGAAGGCACGGGCACTAACGATCTTAGCATTAGGAGTATCTTCAGGAGGTCCTTGTGGGACCGGCGAGCCCATCGCGTATGCAGTATATGGGCGAGCGGGCAGCAGGCGGCCGCGGAAGAGGCACTGCGCGGAGTCGAACCGGACAGACAGCGGAATCCAATTAATTGCAGGATTATATTAGTGCAGCCAGGAGTTCCTAAGGACTAACTTATACTGTGATAGTGGAGCACGGTAGCAGACTAACTGGAATACTCACCGATCCGGGGACGATTAGGGCCGCTTTAGTAAGTGTTCAGTAAAAGTTCGGTTAGCGAGGTAAAGTGGGAAGAGTTCAATGAGCTTAAAGATGGAGAATGCATCGCGCGGGCAAGGATGGATCATGATGTGAATTCACCTCCATTATCAAGCCAACTTTTAATCCTTTATCTTTTACATAAGCCAAAAGAGCCATATGTCTTCCCCGCTTCAGCTGAGCTTCTACACGGCGGTAAACGACATCAGAAGATTGACATAATTGCTTCTTGATAAACCCCTCCATTCCTGCTGGGGTTGGTCCCTGGTCGTGACTTTGACCAGGGACTACGTATTTTCCTGCTTGTTGTTGGGGATGGTGTCCTTCAGAGAATGCACGGTGATTGCGTTAAGCGCCTTGCCCTGGTGGGTGTGCATAGGGCAGCAGCAGGCGTCCGCGGACCGGTGCCCTGAGTCCCAGCAGGCCCAGCAGCTGCCTTGCTTCTACTACTGTGTACGTTCCTCCGGGGTGAGCCTCGCAGGGTTGACTGGGGGTCGTGCCACTTGCCGACCATCCCGGGGGCCTCTTGGCCACAGGGCCGAACTGAGAGTCCGCCTGCGGAGAGGTCGCAGAAGTGGTGGTAGTACTGATAACCCGGGGAATTGGACTAGTGGTTCCCGAAGCGCCCGTGGTAGCCTGTCTCTTACTCCGGCCAGTTCGGGGATGGTGGAAGAAGGTCTCCATACGGCCTTTTCCTTGACGCGGCGTACTTCGTACAAGACCTCCCGGACTGTGTAGTGTCTCTTTACATACAAGGCCGAGAGCCCCGGAAGTAGTGTAATCTCGAGCTTTTTAACCCGTTCGCATTCAGGAGTCTCGGCTTTGTCCCAGAGGTCAAGCAGCCGGTGGAAGTTTTGGGTGACTATCTCATTTCGACGCTGAGCCACGGATTGAAGGTCGAAGTTGACCGTGTCGGCGAGGAGATGGATGTCAATATAGTGCTCCACATCCCCCATAAAGTCATCCAGCGACTTGGTTTCGTCCCTGTATACCATTTTCTGCATGACACTGAAGAAAGGCTCCTCCACCTGGGAAAGAGCATAGCGGTTCTTGGTAGCATCAGATGTCGGGTAACTTGATTGGGTTCTGAGTGCCCGGTTTATGGCAGTGGGCAGCATACGGGAGGTACGAGAGGTCTGGTTAGCCGCTTGCAGTCTGGACAGATAGCGGTGTGCAGCGACGGGTCAATAAGGATACAAGGTGGTGGAAGCTGCTTGGGATAACTGGCTGGTTCTTCAAAAAGGTGAAGAGCTCTTTGCTGAGCCCCTCCAGAAGGCGATTGACCCTCCCCTAGTTGCTATAATCACAATCGGCCATGTAACGCTCAAATTCAGCGTAGTATACAATGGATTCCCGGTTCTTCTGCTTCAAGTTACGCAGCTTGCGGGTGGCCTTGACATGGCGGTTGGCAGCCCCATATTCTCACTACAGGATCTCAATGGTAGTGGCGAGTGTGGGTAATACTACTAGGCTTTATAGGCTGCCTGCCCCGGTAAAAGGGGTTACCTGCGTCAGAGCATTTCCACCCAATCGACTGATGGTACAGGTGACAAGTTCAGGTTCACTGGGATATCGATCACAATTGACTAGGAGCTTGATCTTGAGCTAGTCGAGAAATGAGTCAAGCTTGTCTCTATTTCCATTGAACATTTCTGGGTCAGCATATTTGGTTGAAAGGCGTGTTTCTTGGCTTCCAGCAGATGTGAGGTCCGTCGCTTTTGGCTCGTTCGCCTGAGACGCATCAGTGGGCGGGTCCTGGGAAAGGCGGTTGGTGTGCTAATCTGAGCTTCGAGAGACTACACAAGATTCGTGAGGTTTGTGTTATCTGAGCATTCGAAGTAGATTGTGCTTCGACATAAGCTTGAACAGTACTTGCAAGGTTCGCTACCAGCATAGTGAGCTACGCCACGGCATTACTGCCGCATTGGCGCTATCTGCTGGTGTTTCTGGGGTATTGACAGAGTAAAACAACTGGAAATTGATGTACCATGAGATTGAAGAAGCGATGTGATGCTACGGATTGCATTTAGGCAAAGACATCGCTTGAAGAACACTCGCCTTCCAACAACCTAAGAGAAGCGATTGATGCTTGTCTATTGGTCGGTACAGGGTCGGTAGCCGTAACTCTGAAGACAGCTGAGCGAGGGAACCAAACGCCATGGGCTACTGCCAGGTTCAAACTGAGACTACAAGTCAGTCGCACGTGGGGCGAACCTCACGCAACTAGCCTAACCGCCTTTGGACGTCATCTGACCTCCCGCCAATAGCGGACACAGGTCAGTCACACGTGGGGCAAACCTCGCGCAACAAGCCTAACCGCCTTTGGAGGTCAGATGACCTCCCGCCAAGAGCTCTGTACAACGCAACTGACCTATGTCCTGGCTGGTATGTGAACTATACTAGTTTCGGTGATTGCTAGTCCGAAGTAGGAATAGCTAATGTGGCAGTAGCCTGCTAGTATCGTGGAGCGCGCAGTGTGAGTAGCACCTCCCATTTCGAACCAGTCATTATATTTCCGTTTAAGAGTATTATCGTAGTTTGACTTCGCTGGATTTTTTTTTATTTTATTTTTATTAGCTGTTCATAAGGAACACTAGCACTAATTGAAGCCGTGCATGCTCCAAATTCCTGTGTAGGATGTTAGGGGCCTTAGGGCAGTTTAATATGGCACAGAGAATCATCTAGCTTTGCGACATGCACATATCCCTTCCTCGATAACAACCAACAGAAAATACTAATGGCGCCCAGAGTTATTAAGCACAGAGATAGTGCTCCAGCCGTAGCCCTCAGAATTGATACTGCTACACTGCTGCAAACATCCACAGCAAGAAATGGGGATGCAACCTTTCTTGACGAAAACATCACAATGTAACCCTATCTGAGCACAGATAGCTACAGCTTAAGAAGTCTGTAGACCATTCCTATTACATATCCCGTTACAATCAAAACGTTCTTTTAGAGTATCTTGGTCCGTTTCCGGCAAATAGAGTCTGCGCTCTTAAAATTAATGTAACGTGAACTTTACTCTCCATGATGGGCTGAGGATATATAAAGCTGGGCTATGTACCTGGAAGTCCAGATATCACTACAGGCATATCCATAGTCATTCTGTTGACTATCACCAATTTTACACGCTACTACTTCCACAATGCAACTTAATACTCTTCTCTTTTCCCTTGTCAGTGCAGCACTCTTTAGCAGTGCCATTGCCGGCAAGGACGGTTGCTACAAGATCGACAATTTCGGACTGAAGGAAAATAACTGCGAGAATTGCCATCCAGGGTTCAAATTTGTCCCGAGCCACATTGCCTGTGAAGTTAAGCACCAATGCTGCATTGGTGCCTGCTGCCCACACTAAGAGGATAGACTAGTGGGCTCAGGTAGGGATCTATCAGTTCACATTAAAAGGGAGAAGACTAATTAAATCTTTTCCTACGTCTCCAGACTTCTACAACCAGACAATTAATCAAGAAGAGAAGATGGTTTCTCTGTTATGAGCCTCCAGCTAAGGTGGATAGGGTTAGGAGAAAACACTTCTTTTATACGCTGTATGTTAGCAGGAGTACTCTCTAGTCTATCATTAATATCAAATTGTCTGATGGGTATATGTGTTGATGTCGTAGTACTATCTAACATGTCTCTATAGTTACTGTATAATTGACGATGTTCCTCAAGTCCCAGAATGCTCGCTCTCCTAGTAAAGTGTATCTTTGGATATTTGATCATTATCTTCTATTTGCGCTTGTTAGATAGTGACTGTCTAGCTAGGTAAGGTATGGTCATTTATTAGTATATAATACAAGTCAGTGGATTTTATCTAAGTTTCTCGAGTCATTCCAGAGACAGTAGCTGATAGGCTATATTACTCCATCATACCTTGCGAAATAGAGTAATACTTAACGGAAAGTATCGTTTGTTCTCACAACGTGCATGGTGTAACGTAGTCTTCGTCCAATCACTCATGTATGACAAGCAGAGTGAAATTCTCATGCTGCAGTCGACATCAATTATATTCGAACCAGGTTTCGTCAAAATATTAACGGCAGATTCACCTGTATAAATCCACTAACAACTATGCGGACGCATTAAATCCTGTTTGCAGGATAACAAAGGATTGAAAATATTTGTTTTCATGCTTGATAAGGCCTACATGAATGGACATAGTAGCATTCCAGTTTATATCATTACCATTGCCCGGATCGGTCCATTGAACTGATTCGTGTATCTTGACCATGGGGCCGAGCGGGAAAGATAATATTTTCAATTATGGTGTTGCGAAGCTAAAATCACATTCAGGGTATAAGGGGGGTATCGTCGCATTAGGAAGTCCTCCAAATACATTGCGCACTTATGTATGCTTCCATCAATACTCGGAAACACGAATTTTCCAGTCACGGCTGTCGGATTGAGGATTCCAGGGGCAATTCCTTCTTCTGGGCCATTTCGAGGTAGAGTAACGTGTTGTTGTTCCCGCCGTCTTTGTTCTAGTCGCCATTTGGATCGGTGTAGGGGTTATTGGTCTGCAGCATATATGCGGCCGTCTTCTTGTACAAGAGGCCTTCCTTTTCGTCAGTTTCTCCCTGGGGGTTCTGCCCCCACACATCCAAGAGTGTGTCAAAGGATAACTTCTCAGTTGTCCCTGGTTCAGACTGGTAGGCTTTGAGTTCGCTCAACTTCTCACTAAATAAATAGTGTCAATACAATCCTGTTTTCAATACAGACACTCGAAATACCACATCTTTGCGCCTGCGAAGGCACAGCCAATGTCAGCCATTTGTTATATTTAGAAATGATGACATGAAGTGGATTAGCTGCCCTTACCGTTGAAATCAAGATACAGCCTGTGGATGTCATACTCTCCTGGCAGGTGATAGCGATCGACTAATTATTTAAGCTTATCCCATCCTGGAACAACAATGTCGTTGGCCACGTCGACATCGAAACCGATAGTACAACTGGCCATGTCTATGTCCTTCCACATCTCGTTTTGCACCAATCTATGTTAGTATAATGTATTTTGTATATGTCTTTGGTGTGGTACCTTAAAACAAGGGTTGCTCCTACGAAGTTGAAGGCGTTGCAGAGAGAACGGCGGAAAATTATCCAATGCCTCCCATCTACATATGGGTTTCCAACGCGCTGGTCACCCAAGAAACATGACTGGCTAGTGAGTACTGTAGTTAACCGGCTACATGCCCTAACAGCCGCTGGAACAGTACGCATAGATCGGCAGCCTTTCTAGAATTGATGCAGGGTGGAAAAATCTTATTGAGTTTCAGCTCCCACTACCTCTAACAAAGCGGCCTATCATGCTGGAGAACTCACCCCCTACCGTCCATCAATACATGAGCTTAGACGATGATTGACAGCAATGTTGTTCCATCAAGGGGTTCGGGCGATGAGCTCGAGCAAAGCGAACTGGGCACTTTCTTAAGTATGTCACTAGTAATTGTTTCCTGCCTCCAAGCCAGCTAATCTTCATATGTAGTTCGAACACAATGGCGCCGTATCTCATGTCTCCATGGACGAACCGCATGGAGATCCATCCGTTGATGACTTCTGGTCGGAGATAACCCAGTCCATTTCCAAGGATTCCAAGAAAGTATTCGACGTTATTGGCAATGCCATCAAGGCCTATTTATACAGACTCGGTCGTGTTAAAGTTATAGTACTATAATGAATAGCCTGTCTCCTAAACACTTACTAACCAGTAAAACAATCCGGAATTGGATGTATCCAATTGGTCAAACAATTAATTAGAGAGCGGGCCTGTAGGGCCCGTAGTGGCAGTAGGGACAATTGGGACAGTAGGGTCAATTGGCCCGAGAGGTCAAACGGGCTCTATCTAGCACTTTACAATTTTTTATAATTTTGTATAGCATGCTATCTAACTGCATATTAAGCAATGAAAAATTAATAAACAGTTAATTAAATCTATAAAACCTATAATGCTAGCTGTTCCAAGTCAGTCCTCAAACCAGAAGAGAAACACCATCTCATACTAATTTGAAACAGAGCACCAATGAAGAAAATATTATTCATTTGCAGCAGCTCTTGAGATGATGGAGACTAGAAAACTCTAATAGAAACTGTTATGATCATTCGCTCAGGGAAAGGAATGTGTGAGAGAAGAGTACTATACCAGCTACACGCCGGTAGCCTACTAAGGGGTACTCACCAACGTGCTCTATCTCACCCTCTCTAAATTACTATCTAAAGGAATGGAGATGATTCACGGAGGATGACACTGAGCGCTCTTCAAGGTGCTAGGAGTAATCGGATCCCGAAACCCGGATATTTCTACCAGAAACTTAAGAGATATGAAGACTACTCTTCATTGATTGGGACCCATGCCATTGCTATGCCTAGCTCTATTAAAATCTATTCCTTTGTCATGCATATATATTATACCAGCTTACCTGTAGCATGGAGCATGGGGAGAGCGTGTATTACCCGGATTGTCTAACTCTGTTGGTTATGTGATTGACTACAATTGTTCGACGAGGTTCTAGCTTATTAGTTTAATGTATCAGCTGCAAGCAACCTGCATGGAAACAAGAGTTAACGACACCAATAGTCAACTTGGTAGACTCAGTCTTTAGACCACATCTAATATCGACAAAGGCCAGAGAAAGCTGAATACATAACCCGAGATGACAGCACCTTCTGGGCTATTCATTCTCCATTTCAGCTTCAGTATACGCCTCCGTATCCATGACCATCATCCTTTCCATGTCCATGTCCATGTCCATGATCATCCTTTCCACATCCATGTCCATGGTCATCCTTTCCCTTTCCATGGCCATGCCCATCGTAATGGCCATGGTCAGGTCCACCAGGTCCGGCCATCATATCGCTCACGTCAGGAGCGTTAACATTAGCGTCATCCTGAATTGGCGGAACCAATGAATGTAGTTAGACAATTTCCATTAATGGCGTACTTGTAATGGATTGACAAACTTACCGATGCTGGAACGGCGACCGCCAACGAGGCAAAGAAAGCAGCGGCAATGATTGCGAACCTCATTGTAATGATTTCAAGTTAATTGGCTTTGAAACGCTTGATCAGGGGATATTCAGAGTGTGTTTGAGTATGAGATTACTTTCAGGCTCAATAGTAATAACTCAATGAATGGTGGGCTCAAATGGTAGCTTTTATAATTTTCCATCTCACAGGTTGCGCTTTTTTGTTATTTATTTACTCTTTTCTGTAAAAATGCGCGAGACGTAATAAGTCAACGATCACAACCCTATCTGGTAAGTAAATATGTACTTGCAAGCAATCAGGATTGATTTGATATAGAGCTCTGTTTACCCCTTGCAGCAACAGCAACAGTGGCAGGGAAAATAAGAATGGGGTTGGCAGGGATAAAAAATAAGCATGCAAAATATTTCCGAACCATTGATTAGCAAACATTCCTTAGGTATGTGGTGTATGTAGAAAAACGGCGAGAGCACTGTATCTATCCCTTGCTTGGGATTAGCACGGGCCCCTGAATATGATGGTTATTTAGGGGCTAGTTCATTTCCAGAGAGCCGGCCAGTCCCTGGTCACTTTGCTGCAGCATGCACCACTTCCAAAGATCCCCCGAAGGATTGCTAAGGATATTAACAATGAATACATACCTAGCTGTCTTGGGGCCAATCAACAAATATATAGGCATTTTGGCGAGAGTCGAAAAGCTCCATGAATCTCAAAACCGATTCACGAGGTCCGGATTGCTGAGGACCAGAACCCGTCTATTGTATGTGAGGGGTCACTGGAACCAATGAGATGTTTCATATCACAAGCTTTGTACGACCTTCTGGCATTTTAAAAGCTAGAAGAATGGTCTAGTTACTGTCGACCTATCTTTATTTCCTCTATCTCGACCCAGGAATGTCTACGAGGTATTTATGTGGATGAGCAAGTGACTACTAAAGTTATTAAAATACGTGCCTCTTCAGAGCAGCATATCAGAATTCAACGAGGCTTCTGAAAATTCAAGAGGTTGGGAGAGGGTTTGTGAGTAGTAAACCTTAGAAATACAACGGTCATAATTTATATGCATACCCTGGGGGGCTTGCTTTGGAGTACTCTCCGTATCTAGGGGCCTTTGCAGTGCGACTATTTAAGACATCGGTGAAATCAGTGTCTTTAGAACGGATGTTTTAGACAATACATCCCAAGAATACAACTATCAGAACGGATAGTGGGTGAAAGAAGATAAGATTTGCTATGTCTATTAAAAGAATAAAGAGATGGAGGAGATCATGGAGTCAAATATTGAGGAATCACTTGAGTTTAGAGAATGACTGTGAGATTTAAAGATAAGGGATAATTTTGAGTGTATGAAACCCTGCCATGAAAAAGAGATCTGCCGGATGTTTGAGGTGAAGGATCTGAGCCTGTTGAAAATCTGTATATTCGAGTTATGGATAATTTTATATGAGAGTTTGAATCATCTCTGTATTCATTCTCTTATCTTATTTAACTCTCTGTGCTGTTTGTCATCCTGTTCCATTTTGGTTCGATAAAATGACCAGGCAAGTCGATGGTCTGCATGGATCATGGTGGAGAAACTCATGGTACTTCCTGCTGGTGCCATATCTATATCCTCACTTGGTTCGAAAGGAAGACAAGTCTGCTATTTCCACCGGTAATGACTTTCCATATATTTTTACCTCTGGCTAGACTTTCGAACTGGGTTTGCCAGATTTCCCAGTCATCCTGAGAGGTGAGACGAACAGTAGTATCTTGACCAGTCGACATCATGGATATATATAGCTTGTTTTGATATTAGGAGTAGTGGCAGGTTGAATAGAATATTGATAAATTGAGGGAATATATATATATGCGCTCTGTATAGCAAATGAGACTTCGGACATTTTGATATGCACTATGAAAATCCGCCCTAAATTTATGGTCAAATAATATTGGTAAATTACACCGGCTATTTCTAATAGTGTTTGTTATAAATATATAAGGTAGTTGGAATATCTACAGCAAGTTATATCTAATGTATCAACTATAGAACTCTGGCATAATCTACCTAGAGCCCCCTCCATCCTCTTTTTCCAGGGCGGGTTCGGGCGGAGCCCACGGTGGTTGCTTTGAGCAGGCTAGAACGGTCCCACATGTTACGCCAGTGCTGGGTATACATATCTGCAGGTCAGGTACTCCATAATGTGATCGATCGATGTAAATTTTACAATAAGAATAAGTACCTGCATATTGAAGGTAAAACAGAAACATGATAGCACATGATATTAGGTCAATGTGTGGCACCTCTGGGTGCGTAATGCGATCATTAAGAACCTCGTCAATTACGTGACCAAGAATGGGAGTAGCGGGCTGAACTAATATTTTTTTTCTTTTACTCTTAGACTTGCCCATGAATTTGAAGATGCCAGCGCTATCGGAAAAGAAGTTCCATGTCTCTACGCATGTTTGATGCTCGACGGGCTGAAAATTGGGCAAAGCAGCATTAGCAAAATTCAACTGTGAGGGAGTGTATAATGACTGACTCAAAGCAAAACTTTCATAATCGTTCGACAGCTTTTCACAGATAGGGAGAATTCCTATCTTTTGTTTCACTGTATTTTTGCCCACCGCATCCTCGAGACTTGGTTTCACTTGGGTTTCTAATATTCCGGTATATTAAGGACCCCCCAATAAGAATCTGTTACAGTGTACGCGCAAACCTAGGTCAGAAAGTATTAGTGTGCATTTATCTCATATAAACATCCCAGTCCATACGTTGATACCAGCAGGAAACAGCCCAGCACGGCTCTTCTTTCTTTCATTGCCTTTGTTTTCATTTTGGCGATAGTGGCCTCACATGTGAAGGTTCCACTGCTGGCTGCGGCGAAGGAGATGGCATCCTGCGGCTTTTGATCCCTTTATTCAGCCCCAGATTATACACCAGCGACATTGATGACTGCGTGAAATTGGTTAGAAAAGCCATGTACCGACTTAGTAATGGGCCCTGAAATGACAGGTGCGTTATAAACAACTGTAGGATAGTTATTGTCACATAATCCGTGCACCAATCGGTGGGGATGGGATTGCTCAACAAAAGGCCTAGATTTTTCTTGTGTTTGTATAACAATTCATGCAATTCATGTCCTACAACCGGCCGGAAACACTTTCGCAGAGGGAATTGTCGCGAGGGAGATGTATTGCCACAGATATGATGCAGAGCCACAGAAACGGCCACTCCTTCTTTAGCTGCTCACGGTCGTGTTCTTAGGAATGTGGGTTACAGAAAAAAACTGGAGCTTCTAATGTCGAAATGTTGCTAAGTAGTCTCTGGCTTGGGGACGTGTTGGCTGTCCCGAGCAACGGAGCATGGTTGATAACATAGTAGACAAATCACCAAGTCTTTGCGACATATCGTGCTGTGAACTACAGGAGCATCGCTGTTCATAGAGGTGTACAGTATAACTTGTGTAGGACCATTGTGCCTGATATTTGGTTCGTTCTGGAGCAATGTGAGAAAAATTTCTGCCCGACTTTCTAACGAGGTCGTCAAGATATAAAACACATTAAAATAATTACGACAGAATGCTGAAAAGGATATAATATTTATTCTAATGAGTCTCATTCAGTGAAGATATAGAGAATAACAGAAATCATATACAATATGCTAACTAAGCCCTCATATACACTGCAGGTATAGACAGATAGTAGCAGATTCACGATATCTATAGTCTTGATGTCCTATTGTTAATTCGAAGCGAGATCGAGCAGCTGCCTATGATATCGTTAGCAAAGGGTACCAAAAAATATAAAATAAAATACACACCTTCCAGAACCTCATCCAAATTAGCAATCGGCAATTCTGAAAGTATCAAACTTGAACTTCTCCAAAACCGGAAGATCCGCACGACATCCAGTAATACGGAAGCTCTTCATGGTGCTTCCCTTCTTGCTAACGGGATACTTGGTCCAGCTGTATCCACGACCACCGCTGTGGCCAAGGCCCTCGCCCTTGCAAGCGACGCCGTCGAAAAACTTGATCTCACAGCCGTACATCTGGATGGTACAGAACTTGAAATCGTGCACGCCCTTCTTCTGAATGGTGGTCGAGATGTCATGGCAGTTGTTCTCGGCAGAGCGACTGGAGAATGTCTCGGTGAGAGGAGAACCGTTCCTCTCGCCGTTGCCGTTGACCTGGAGAACCCAGGCGTTGGAGACGGGGAGAAGCGCGGTGGCGAGAATAGCGACGGTGGAGAAGAACTTCATATTTGATATATAGATGGGATATTGGAAGAGAAGAGAATGGAATGTTTTAGTGGATGAGGAATAATAGCAGGTAGAATGGACGGTACTTGGTATGGCTTTATAGGTTTCTTAAGATATGGTGAATGATATATAGTCTGGTTCGGCATCAACTAATGTTCTATATTTGGGAGAGAGTTATTTCCAACATCCACATCTCGTGTGTTTTCAATCTAGGATACGAAGAAAACGAGTCTTGGCCCGTATTTCAGGGCGTTGCAACTGCAGATCACTGGAGAAGCCCAGATTTGTGTGGGGACTCGTACTGATCAACAGGAGAGATATCTTGATGTTACCAGTTATGTAGGGTGCGAGTAGAATAATAGAGCAATATCTGAAATCGAAAATTAAATAGAATCAAATCCTATCGTTCAAAAGATGGTATCTTTATTTTCGATGTACCCGACGAAGATCCATTTCCGGATTCAGGATAATGTTGGTATCCACGCCCGTATTCTCATACCGCCTCCAAGAATAACCGGAGTGCATTCCGTAGTAGTCCATTCTGCGGATTCAGACAAGAATATTTGCTCCTCCTGGCTCCACATCGATCTTGCAACATGTGTACCCACATGCTGTACTTGGCTTTTCTAGAGACATGCAGAATCACTCACAGGAGTCTTCAAAGTCACCATATATCTACTGTCTTTCGGACACCAAATTGTTTAAGCACTTTCTCGCAATCTCCTGGCACTTTCCCGGCTGTCTTCTCCCACTGTGCTGGACGGTGTTATCGAAACACCTCCCCGATGACCGGCTGGCTTGGAAGACGGGAAGTCTCGTGTTGATGGTTTCTGGGCATGGACATTAGACTCGGAGAATCCAACTCCTTGCAGGTTGGATCTTAACCTCCTTGGCGTTATCGCGTGGTTCAGTTCCGTCTCCTCGAACAGATGGACGCTGTTCATCCCGAGAGCCAGGCTATTAATCACGCGGAACAGGCTGGGAATGCATGCGGTGATAATGCTGGTGTTGATTATTACCCTACAAACGGGTTAACGATTTAAAGCAATCCTGGGAAAGGGACTCAGACTGGTTACAAGTAGTCACGCTGAGGATTGTCCCTGTGTTATATATTAGCATGTTTCATTCCAAGCAATAGAGGAATACAAGCCTACACGTCAAATCAGTTGAGTTAAGGTACTTCCCCGAGTACGACACTTGGATAATATTGAGAACAGTCACACTTTACACATCAGTGATCACTTTATCACCCATTAAGTTGAACTCACACCAACCGAGATGCAAACGCCGCAGAAATCTTAACACGCCGTATCTTCGGCATTTGAACATTCCACAGCATGACGACAGGGATGACAACCACAGCCGCATCAAGGACCATATTGGTTATTGTAACTGGATACAGGATGGCCCCCTATAAACTTCAGCACTCGTTTGGCGATAATATTCCGTAGAGGCCTTACATTGCCTACGCAGCGAGTGGCCGAGTATTCCCAGTACGGCGGTGAACATTGGAATGCAAGTCCGAACAGCGCGAAGAGCGTCCAGAGCCCTACTCCAATCTGCGTGATGAGACAGCATTGTTGAATTCTTTCGCTGGGGTTGATTGAGAGGATGAGGTTGACCGTCGAGATTTTGGACAGGGAGAGTACCAGGATGAAAAGGAGCTGAGCGGTGTAAGTAAGCTATAGGTATGATCATGATCAGTATGTTGATTTTTCAGATGTCCCATAGACTGTGCGAGACGAACCTTGTTATACATATCGAATGAGTTACTGGAAATGTCATTGCGGTGTCTTCCCATACCATGGTCCACGGCGAACTGGACCAGAATGCTTTGAACAAATACTATGGCCTGAGGGTGTCAGCTCCTTGAAGTTAGCAGCTGAGAAATTCTTGGTACCATGCAGATCCAGAGTGGGATATCAACCGAAGGCAGTGAACGCTTCAAATATACGATGGACATGGCCTTGGCCACGACCACGATAACTGAAGCGGAAAGAAGAACGAAAGTAATGATGGACACCGTTGCACCATGGTTATTAGGCGTAATCTGTTCAAGTGCTGGCAGGAGAGAAGGCTCCGACATAGCAGCCACGAGGACGAACACAACCAGAAAAAGGACTCTAAATCATTCAATTCAGCGAGGATTTTGATACACGCAATTGAAAACCGCGCAGGGAAAACGCTAAGCTTTAGTATCACGCCACCCCCTATCCTCATATCCTTGTACCTCCAGGGATCCCAGAAGTCAACCCGTACGGGATTATCTCGCAAGAAAAACAGATATCTCAATATAGGATTACCCCTAAGTGATGCGCGATTATGAGCCGACGGCAGAGGGACCAGGATGCGGGAAACGGCGTCAATGCTAGCCAGGATGCATACAGGGGCTAACACACCAACAGCTGGCTATCTTCCCCTCTTCCTTGTCTCCCACTTAAAAATATTTCTTCTTCAGAAACTCCTTCTCCTTTATCGGTTTTCTCTCCAAATTTACCAAAGTTCGTGGGACAATTTTATCTCTAGATGGATTACAATGAGATTGAAATGGCCCATAGCCGTGGCAACGGTAATGGCTTCAAGTCCGCCGATGACACCATTATCGAAGCGAGACCTTCCCAAGACAATCGATCCCGACCAAAGCCACGTTTAGAGGTACGTTTCCAAAAGAAGAAAATAGAACTTTGGCCCGTTGGTCTAAGCATATATAGAGATATCTCGGGTTTTTTCCAATGCTAGCATTTGCAGCAACCCTTCAAGCATCCTGGGAAGCCATCGGGGCGAGTATGGCTGCTGGCTTAGTGAACGGAGGCCCCGTGGTTCTCATCTACGGACTGATGTTGGCAATTGTGGGTTCGTTGGGAATTGCCCTCTCGCTTGCTGAGCTGGCTTCAATGTGTGTGATTTCTGTGATATTGTTACAGAGCGAACAAACATCTGTTAACCGAAATCAGAACGCCCATAGCTGGAGCCCAGTATCATTGGACATATGATCTTGCTCCGTTTGCGCCTCGATATCTCAGCTTCATTCAAGGTTGGTCTCATCGCGAAAAACATCGCTTCTGCTAACCCTGTATAGGATGGGTCACGGTATGATGCTCATTCCAGGATACACAGAGAGCGACGCGATTCTGACCATGTAGATGTTCTCGTCGTGGGCTAATGTGGCCACATCCCCCTTCCTGGTCGGCACCCAGATCCAGGCCCTCGTCATCCAGAATCACCCTGAGTATGTCCGCAAATCCTGGCACGCGACGCTCATCATTTGGGCTGTTCTCCTGGTTCCTCTAGCCGTCAACATTTATGCCCGCCGTCTTCTGTCCAGTGTCGAGGTTATTGGCGGAATCATTCACATTCTATTCTTTCCCGCGGTTCTGGTGACTTTGATCGTGTTGGGGTCTCGTAACTCATCCGAGTTCGTCTGGACCTATTTTGAGAATTCGGCCAGCGGTTGGCAGAACGACGGCGTCATCTGGTCCGTGGGGCTGTTGACAGCCGTATACACTCTGGGTGGTAAGGTCCTCTTCGAGCCACTGGTCCCTTGGTATCGTTTACACTGACCCATTACATAGGAGTTGACGGTGTCGTCCACATGGCGGAGGAAGTCAAAGACGCGCCACGCATCATCCCACGATCCATGGTCTACAGCGTGCTAATTAATGGCTTCGTCGCCCTTGGATTCACCATCGGCCTGATGTACACGATGGGAAGTCTGACCGATGCGCTCAACACTCCGACAGACTACCCGATTCTAGAGATTTTTTACGCAGCCACCAAATCCAACGCAGCCTCGTCCGGTCTTATGATGATGTTGGTCCTCCCCGGCGTCGTCGCCCTGTTTAATGGACTGGCCTCCGTGACTCGACTAACCTGGGCCTTTGCTCGGGACGAGGGCCTCCCGTATTCAAGTTTCTTCGCATACGTCTCCCCGCGCTACAAGATTCCTTTCCGTGCTCTTCTTTTAGTCACTATAATCACCGTGCTTCTTGCGTTGATCAACATCGGCTCGACTACCGCCTTTAACGCGCTTCTATCGCTGACTACCCTGGGCCAATATATCTCCTATCTCATCCCGATCATCTTTCTCTTGGTCAAGCGGCTTCGGGCCCCGCAGGAGATACGCTGGGGGTCATTTCGTCTGAGGTGGTGGGGAGCCCCGATCAATATTTTCGCTATCGTGTACGGAGTGTACATTATCATTTTTCTTCCTTTTCCGCCGAATTACCCCGTGACGGCGGAGAATATGAACTACGCTGCGCCGGTGTTTCTGGCCGTGTTGCTGTTTGCCAATATTGATTGGCTGGTACGGGGAGGGAAACGGTGGCAAGGACCGATGGTTAAAGTAAGACCGGAATAGTATCAAACATATACAGCTTGCTATATCCTATAATTTGTATATTAGATAATAGTATAGCTTACCCGTCAGCTGCAAAGATAGTGGCAGTCTTGCATACAAAGAAGTTTGCAAGCAAGGCTGCTCGGATAATGGATATTGGAAGACCGACACCTGCAAGGGATTTGTAAGTCAAGATCTGTGCTAATTCTTGACATTTCTGGATGAGAACTAATCTAAGCAAAGCTATAGTGAAGCATCAAGTTTGGATGTGAGCTAAGAAAATCTTGGTGTCTCGTTGGAAATAGAATCCCTTGTAAAAGTAGAAGGCATACGATACATAACCTCCTGTGGAGATGGAAGACATAAGGGGGCATATATTGGCAAAACTTTAGTAAAATCATGGAGTTTCGTGGGAAATGGAATCCCTCGTAAAAGCAGAAGGCATAGGATATGTAATATAGTTTTGTCTTTTAGATGGGGCTCACCCTTTTGATAATGCAGGATTCTTCTCAGCAGGGAACAGAAGCTGATAATTCATTCACCTAACCGCAGATCTGAGTGTATGCCACGAGATAGATGTCGAAGTCGATGTCCAGGGTATCGTCCGCAAAACCGGTCCTCGAACCCCAATATATGGCTTCCCGTGTGTTATCTACTTGCACAAGGGGATTCGATTTCATTCTGTCTACATTACAATGGATGCTATTTCTTGAACTTTCAACCTCGGTTTATAATCCAGACGCTAGGCTTCCTCCGAATTTACTTTGTTGTGCTATTTCACCAATGGTAAGCGCTGGCTATTAAACGCCACAATGCCCAGAAAAGGGGAATTCACTAGTCATAAACTCAGCGCGTATGGGGCCTACTACTACAGAGGCAGAACAGGATGATTATTATACTTCGGTCCCTGGTTGAGAGCATACGCGCAAGGAGCAGTCTCATCGAACAATTGCTTGGATGCAGCAACCATGAGTGCACTGAGGAAGGTAACAGTGTAGAAGAAGATAGCCCGAGGAACAACTGGGCTTCCCCGGAACGCAGTTCCTTTACCTTGCTGGAGCTGAAGGAGGCAGAATCGGCGGAGGTGTGGATGTAACCTCCCTGGTCAAGGAGGGTCAGCGCAAGTGAGGCGAGAATGAGTCTTGGGATTCCGAATAACAAGGCTTATGTTATATTACATCAGCTGGCTGCTGGAGTGAAACGATTATCCCTGTCTGCGATAGAGTTCTTCACCCCTTTGCACAGACGAGCGTGACGAAGGAACCCAGACAGCATGCAAGAAGCAGCCAGTAGCATGCCAACGACAGCATCCGAATTGTTGACACCGGAAGAACCGTTTTTTCTTGATATCACGGCATTCCACAGTGCCGATGCATCTCTGGCCGACAAGAAGGCTGTTGTCTAGGATGTATTCGGCCCCTTTTGCAGTGTTAAACCAGTACCAAGTGATGCGAACTTTCCTAACACCTTGTCCTTCTTCTTGAGCCACGCCACCTCGTCGATCCAGAAACCCTTTCCAACTAGGTTATTTTCTTCCGTGATTTTCTCAATAGCTTGGGCGGTTACGTTTTCCAAATCAAAGTCCACTTCGGGGTGCGGTGTACGACCACGCCGAACCGTGGCTTCACCAATTTCGTGTTGTTCTCAAGTTCGTTCAACCACTCGGTGTTGTTGCGGGCTGCGTCGCCCAATACATTATTTCGGAACCGCATTAATTCAATAGCGCCGTGTGGACATGGGAGTTAGCAGAACCAGGGGGCAGATGTCGGCTAAAGGTGTTCCTATCGCCGCTGTCGTTGTCACCTGGGTCCACAAACGACCGCTGGGTGCTGATCCGGACGCAGTGCTGGTCCTTGTCGGGGCGTTGCCGGTTCAGTTGCGGGCCTGGGTTACTGCCGTCGGCTGCAACCGCGGCCCATGATCTGGTCGGGGGTGCCGGTGAGACGGCGTTGATTTATACCCGCAGAGCTAAGAATTCTTCGTGGAGCTTATTCTGTTCTTGAAGAACATTCTGGTCATGTTTGACCTCCTGTATCTCCGCTTTGGTAGATTCGATGAGTGCGGTTTGGTGGTAGATATTGTCTTTTAGACTGTCAATAAGCTTCCACACCTCCCTGGTGGTGACCCGGCCCGTGCCTTCCGAGGGCGTAAACCCTGGCGGCTTCGCGTCCTTTTGTTTAGGATGGGGGTGTGATACCGTCAGCCTGGGCTGAAAGTCCTCGGCCGTGAAGCTATTCGCGGTTTCTTGGCAACACAGTTTTGTATCGCGATCATATCAACCACAACGTCCTGAGATCTCTTTGGTTGGTCCACTCCTCTGTATACAGCGGAGTCGTAGCATTCCAGGTTGCCCATGCATATATAAGTTTTCCATATGCTATATACAGGATGGATCGAAATCAGTTTCACCGCTCTATTCACATAGATTCCTTCCTGAGCCCGGTTGTGAACAGCACTATTTAGCGTATGCAAAACGTTCGGGACTTCTTGGCGCCCTGCGACGCGAAAATAGCACATCTCCGTCAAAAACCTCGCTTCTATCGTAGAAAACCGATTCCACCATGACTCCAGCGTATTCTGAAGATATTCAACAGTTAAAATTACGCAATGTGACTGTTTAACCCAGAATATCCCGGTATAATGCTAATTCGCGCCTAGGTCGGCCCCTTGCCCCGAGGTTCAGCTGTATCAACACCGCGGCGGCCATAACCTAGCGCCTGCCCAGAGTGCTCAGATCCTGCGCTTTCTCCTCCTAGGTTGGAGAGTTGAGGCCATTGCAGCTGAATATCATGTTGGCCGTACAACAGTGTTTGCTATACAGCCAAATCTCCTCCGCTACGGCTCGATTAGGAAGCTGTATTTCCGTCAAATTGGCCGTGCCACAAAGCTATCTAAAGCCGATAAAAATGCACTGTTTGAACACCTCCTTTCACAGGGATGGTGTCAGCGAGCTGAGTTGGTCGGGTGGCTGTTTTATAAGCGTGGTATGCTGGTCAGTCAATCTATAATATCGCGGGTGTTGAAGTGGAGAAAATGGACCCGGAAGGAGTTACGGCGCATATCTCTTAACCGCAGCGAACCGCTCCGAGAAGTATATATTAAAGATATTTAACGAGAAGACTGGCTGGCGCTATTATGGTTACACTCCGATTAGTGATAAAGCTAGATACGTCGTCCTCCATTTGCTGCAAGTCCAGAATAGGCCGATCACTGCGCGAAACAATGTCCCTAGCACGTGGTGGCCGCTGCCCTTGTATTTTCCCTTGCCTTTGCATTCTTCCAAAGCACCGTAGCACCCCTGGCTGTTGCCTTCTTCCTCATCTGACTTATCTGAGCAGTGTAGAACGAGGAATGTAATTACCTGCAGGTCTGGATAACAAGGATCTTGCTTTATCAGGCGCTGAAATCTGTGGAATATATGTTCCCCGGAGATCGTACAGCACCACGTGCTCCGTCAGGGTTGCGCGCGTGGCCAGGGACTTCGCCCGCCTGGGAGGCATTCTGGGTATAATACAACGATTCTTACCGTTGAATAGCTTCAATTTGGCCGTTTTGGGCAGTAAATTGGTTATCTCCCGGTCTGAATACGGTGCTTTTTAACGGATATCGATTAAAATCGATGTTTTTGACAGAGATGTGCTATTTTCGTGCTGCAGAGCGCCAAGAAGTCCCGAACGTTTTGCATACGCTAAATACCTATTACGGATAATTTACCCCTGACACCTATCTCTTGGCAGTATCCAAGTACGGTAATAAATAATGGCATAAAAATAGCTTCTGTAACCCGGTTGTATTGTCTGTCGGGTGTCTAAAACGAATTTCCTGCTTCTGCAAACCGGAGTTTGTCTGGCCAGCCTGACAGCTTAGATTTTACCTTCTGCCCTCAGAGGCGGCGCCAAACATTACCTCGTCTTTAGCTACCAGTGCCTTTCGGACCTTTGGCCTCAGCCTTCTGGCTCCGTCATACTGAACGATGGAGAGAATTTTGCAATGGCGAAAGCAACGCAAGATCGACACCAATCCGCCGCGAGAATCAAGCCGCGTCCATACGCCGTCACGCCGAGAGATAGTTTCCGACCCGTCTGAATGCATCCCGGTCTCTTCTTTTCCGGATGGAATCAAAGTTCTCTACGACTGCTCTGACGCCGCGGTGGACATCTGTTTTATTCACGGACTGACAGGAGACCGGGACAATACTTGGACCGCCCATGGGCACTCCACACCCTGGCCGAAGACACTCCTCCCACCGAATCTTTATCAAGCTCGGATCATTACATACGGCTATGACGCATATATAGCACGTAAATCAGTTGCCTCATCGAATCGGTTGATTGACCACGCGATAAACCTACTGAACGACCTCACGGACGACCGGGACTCCAGGAATGCGTCCTCTCGCCCACTCATTTTCGTCGCTCATAGTCTTGGTGGCCTCGTCTGCAAGAAGGCTATCCTTCTCTCGCGACATAACCCTGAACCTCATCTTCGCGGTGTTTTCGATTGCACAAAAGGCGTCATATTTATGGGCACTCCCCATAAGGGAGCATGGATGGCTGACTGGGCCAAGATACCTGCTTCCGCTCTTGGGCTTGTGAAATCCACCAATGTAATGTTGTTGGATATTCTACAGAGGGACGACCAGCTCCTAGAGTCTATTCAAATTGACTTTCTTGCCATGATCCGAGAATTACGAGAGAGCGGCAGGGGCCTCGAGATCACTTGTTTCTTCGAAGAACTGCCCTTGCCATATGTGGGGAAGGTCGTATCCAAAGAATCTGCCACTTTTGAGGGCTATAGCTCTCGAAGCATTCATGCCAACCACAAGGACATGACCAAATTTGCATCCGCAGAAGAGAACGGATTGCGGAGGTTATTAGGAGAGCTGAATAGATGGGTATCACAAGTTGGTAAGGAGGATCAGCATCCACACTGCGCAAGAATATACTTGGGCTGAGTGTTGCTCTAAAGTTCAAAGCCCATTCAGGATTACCCCTATAACCGATCCCATCAACCAACACATGGACCTTGAGAAGTTGCCCATAGCGTGTGGGGCTGAGTTTAACTCGTACATGGATCAACATGAAGATGAATGTCTCCCAGGCACTAGAACCGAGCTCCTTCACAAGATTGCGGAGTGGGCTGTGTCGCCGGAAGGAAAATGCATATTTTGGCTAAATGGTATGGCGGGTACAGGGAAATCAACCATTTCCCGAACAGTTGCAAAATCCTTCAAACGGGACAAGTTATTGGGAGCATGCTTTTTCTTCAAGAGAGGTGAAGGGGATCGAGGGAATGCCATGAAATTTTTTCCAACAATCACTAGACAATTGCTACTCAGGCTTCCACGACTGATACCTGGTGTCCGGAAAGCAGCCCAAGATGACCCCGATATTGCAACGAAGTCACTTAAAGAGCAGTTTGATAAGCTGCTTCTTCAACCACTCCTTGGCTTGAAACGGTCCGATCGCCAGATCACGACCATGGTGATAGTGATTGATGGGTTAGATGAATGTGAACTGGACAATGACATACGAGTCATACTCCAATTGCTGCCACAGCTGCAGGGGTTAAGCGGCGTGCGAGTACGGATTTTCTTGACCAGCAGGCCTGAACTCCCTATCCGTCTTGGATTCTCGGAGATTGCGAATCATGACTATCAGGATCTGGTTCTTCATAAGATTCCTGAGGCAGTTACCGCACGGGATATATCCTTGTTTATGAATCACCGACTTTCGAGAATTAGGACGGAACGGTCACTTCCTACCAACTGGCCTGGAGAGACGGATATTCAAGCTCTTGTGAAATTGTCCGTCCCTCTATTCATCTTCGCCGCTACCGTGTGCCGTATTTTTCAGGATCCTCAGTGGGACCCTATAGAGAATCTCGCTGAGATCCTCACCCATCAAAGTGAGGGATCTCAGCTTGACGGAACCTATCTCCCCGTGATGAATCGAATTCTCAGAAACCAAAGGGGGAAGCGGAAACAACGGCTGGTTCAAGAATTTCAGGAGGTAGTGGGCACAATTGTAATGCTTGAAAGCCCACTCTCGATTATCTCACTCTCGAGGCTCATTAGTCTCTCTGAGACTCTGATCAACTTGAGACTAGATTCATTACACTCAGTCATTCATATACCCGATGATAAGACAATGCCAGTGCGGCTTTTCCATCTATCATTTCGAGACTTCCTCCTTGATCCGGAAACACGTGAGAAGACTCCACTATGGGTGGACGAGAAAGAGATACATCAGAGATTGACCTCACAATGCCTGTCTCTATGTAACAGTTTAAGTCGAAATATCTGTAGGCTGCCAAACGAGGGCATTCAGCGTGTGGAGATTGATCCTAAGACTATCAATCACTATCTCCCCCCAGAGCTACAATACTCTTGTCGCTTTTGGGCACAGCATCTAGTGCAAAGCAGAGACCCATCTTCAATGATGCACTATGCTTCGCTGTTTCTCCAGACGCACTTTTTGCACTGGATAGAAGCAATGAGCATTCTAGGTCTTGCATCTGAAGTTGTCGGGATCATTAGTCGGTTGCAGTCAGTCACATATGTAAGTTCCTGATAAAAGTCCTATTTCACCATCCGTACTTATTAATATAGAATGATAAGCATTATGAAATATCTGAGTTCCTGAACGATGCAAAGCGGTTTGTTCTTAAAACTAGACAGATAGCTGATACCGCCCCCCTCCAAATTTATTGCTCAGGACTTGTATTTGCGCCAAGAATGGCAATAATCCGAAGGAAGTTTGAAGGTGAGCTGCCTGATTGGATGTGCAAGTTGCCGGAAGTTCAAGAAACTTGGAGCGCAGAAATACAGACTCTCGAGGGTCATTCACACTGGGTTCAGTCTGTGGCATTCTCTCCGGATGGTCGGCTTCTAGTATCCGGCTCGGTTGATAAGACAGTTAGGCTATGGGATACCGCCACAGGTGTCCTGCTGCAGACTCTCGAGGGCCATTCAAATTGGGTTTGGTCTGTGGTATTCTCCCCTCACGGTCGATTCATAGCATCCAGTTCAGATGACAACACGGTCAGGCTATGGGATACCACTACGGGCGTCATACAGCAGATTCTCGAGGGTCATGCTGGTCCGGTTCGGTCTGTGGCGTTCTCTCCGGATGGCCGACTCCTGGCGTCTGGTTCGGATGACAAAACTATTAGGCTCTGGGAGACTTCTACAGGTGCCCTACAGCATGTTCTCGAGGGTTTAGATGCAGTACGGACTGTGGCATTCTCACCTAACGGCCGTCTTCTGGCGTCTGGTTCAGATGACAAGACAGTCAAGCTATGGGACACCACTACGGGCATCCTGCAGCAGACTCTCGCGGGACAATCTGGTATAGTTCGGTCTGTGGTGTTTTCTCCTAATAGCCAACTCCTGGCATCCGCCTCAATGGATGAAACAGTCAGACTATGGAATACCACTACAGGTGCCGTACAGAAGACTCTCCGGGGCTATTTAGATTCGGTTCGGTCTCTGGCATTCTCCCCTAACGGCCGAATCCTAGCGTCCGGATCGCGAGATAAGAGAGTCAAGCTATGGGATACTGCTACGGGCGCCCTGCAGCAGACTCTCGAGGGCCATTTGGATTCAGTTCGATCTGTGGCATTCTCCCCCAATGGTCGATTGCTAGCGTCGGGCTCAGTTGACGAGACTGTTAGACTATGGGATACTGCCACAGGTGCCCTACCACAGACCCTAATAGGCCACTCAGACTTGGTTCGGGCTATGGTATTCTCACCTAATGGCCGACTCCTGGCATCTGGTTCGGATGATAACACAGTCAGGCTATGGGATACAGCCACAGATGCCCTACAGCATACACTTAAGGGCCATTCAAGTCTGATTTTATCCGTAGCATTCTCTTCCAACGGGCCTGTCCTGGCGTCCAGCTCGGTTGATAAGACAGTCAGAATATGGAATACCACCACAGGCGCCCTACAGCTTACTCTCGAGAGCCAGTCAGATTGGGTTCTGTGTATAGCCTTTTCCCCTGACGGCCGGCTCCTAGCGTCCGGTTCGAAAGATAATTTGGTCAGGTTATGGGTTACAGCCACGGGTGCTCTATATAAGACTCTGGAGGGCCATTGGGGTTCGATTGTCTCTTTGGCATTCTCGCACGACGGCCAGCTCCTGGCATCTGGCTCAGATGACAAGACAGTTAAGCTATGGCATACCTCTACAGGCACCCTGCAGCAGACTCTCCATGGCCATTCAGATTCAGTTCGGACTGTGGCATTCTCTCCCAACGGCAGAATCCTGGCCTCCGCCACGATTCATATAGTCTTTCTCTGGGATACTGCTACGGGCGCCCTACATCGGACCGCGACGACCGGAGGAGTAGTCACTAACCTGGAATTTCCCGAAGATAGTTCATATCTGAGCCCCAATCTTGGTTCCATCAATGTCCTACCCATGAATGGCAGTAATACCTCTGGTTCACCTCTGGCAAATTTCGAGATTCTGGAGCGCCAGTGGGTGATTTTTCATGGCAAAAGGTTGCTTTGGCTTCCTCCTGAATATCGACCTAGCTGTTCAGCGTCCAAAGGTAGTACTCTCGCCCTAGGGCAGGCATCGGGACGAATTTCAATCCTTGGATTTTCTGCATAGCAGGCCTTAATGAAGTTTTGTATTCAATTTTTTTGCCTACAGTTATTCTTTCATATCTTTTCAAGAAGGTCTCAGATATGGATAATTGGGTACTGTATGATATTATTGGTGGAGCCTAGGATAGATTTCAAACTCTACTACCAAACATTGCAGGTGAAAATCCATCATTTGTGGCCACATAATTATGCGTCGAAAAAATTTGCGTTGCTTCGTGGGTTGGTCAGAATTCAGCAGCTAGGGAGAATGCTAGGTGGGTTTACAGAAAGGTTTTGAGTTAATAATTTTCACCATAACTAGTCTGGGTTGCGTAGCAGCTAAATAGGCACCAGCCGCACTGTATGTGCCCCCGCTCGAAGTTCTCACTCGTTTGGTGTTTGATTACATTATGCTTCGTCTATATTAATATGGTAATTTTGCAAATAAATTACTCCCCTCTTCTCGCTTCATCGATCCGACACAAGAGACAGCTTACCTACACATTTTTTGGAACCATTTGAGACTCCTATACCACTACCTATTCTGGTATTGATTGTTAACCTAGAATTTTTGGAAATTGGCTAATAGTCATATAGCACAATGTGCTGGCTGATAATCGAAACCCCTGCAAAATTTCCTGATTGCAGAGGGAAAGCTCAAGGGACCTGTATTTATTGCATGCCGGAGCACATCGAGAAGTGTGTCTCCGCCAAACAGAGGGGCAGTGTGTGCAATCCCGCGACTCCATTTGAACCCAAATCGAGCTCGGTTCTCCGTGGAAGAGACTGCCCTCTTCATCGCACCAAGTGAAGCATTCACAACTTTGAGTTACAGATTCACCATTCTGAAACAAGGTTTCAATGTGGGACTTACCATGTAACCAGAAGTGGAATACCCAATACAGCAACGTTAGGGTGAGGTGATGATGATGATAATTGTAAAGGATTTCCTTTTGTGACAGATTGGGCACGGAATTTTCATCTCGGAGAGATAAATCAGCTAGCATTTGAGTGCTATCAAGCACAGACAACCCAGATTTTGACTTTGAATGTCCAATTTGTCAAACCTCTTTTCCACTTATCGAATATGGTTGACAGGGCTGGGTTCTGAAGCGGGTTTGGCCTGGGGGGAAGTGGGGTCAATGGTATGACCAGCCCGCCAAGAGAGGATGAATGAATGAAGAGGGGCTGAGGTGTAAGTGTCAACTGTATGAGCATTTCAGGTAGGTAATTGTCTCAAAATTAACTAATAGTTAATTAACTACCCTAGTTAACTAAGTTAACTATGGTAATATTGATTATTCAGCACTTTTCTTGTTGTTGATACATCATCAGATCGCTTAATATATTTCCTATATTAGTTAGTTTACCTCGCCTTTATAAGTACGAGCTGTTTTGGTAGTTTAGTTGAATCAGAGACCTAATTCTATCGAGGATCGATACTTGGGAATACGCGTATTTTTATGGTCAGCAAAGTCACTCGACTATCGGCAACGGGACAGACCACAGAACAAATCTAGTCGCCGCATAGACAAGAAACCAGTAGACTTCTTCAGTTCATCGATTGTAGCGAGACAAGATGGGAACGCAGCATCCTGGCTATTCGTCGTTGTTTGTTGTTGGCTGCTTGTCAGAATTTTCACGCGTCCAACCATCCCACACCACCATTTTCATCTCCGTTTGGGCAGATCTTGGTTTCCTCAAGCAGCACCACCACCAACTGCTTGAGTACTCGTCCCCAGCACCACAAAGAGGTGTCTGCCCATCGCTGGGGGGTCCAGTTACAAAAGAAGAAGATGATTCATACCCCGACCCCTCGCCTCAAGGCGTGTTGTGGAACTCAGGGGAAGTGATGCGCAGGGAGCTATTCTATCAGCTGCAGGCCAACTAGCCTAATTAGGAAGTAGATGTCATTCAGTGGAACCATCAGGAATCGCAGTATCTCAACCAACTGAGCCTACTAAGCGGTTCCCTATATTCTCATTGAGGTGTTCTACTGTACAAACTAAAGGATTCAAGGGCTGAATCGATCGTCAGATACTCCGCACCGCCAAGTCGGGCGGACTATACCGTACCCGATCACATGATGACCGTTTTCACCACTCGCCCGATTTTTTGGGTTAACCACAAATGCAGAGATGAAGCCATACAGCCACAACGAAATGATAAAATAAGTATATTTTTTGGTGGAGTAGAATAAAGTATATAAAGAAGCTATGTAGCTAATTTTTGGTGTCGCGGAATCGCTCAGGAAGCCGTATTTGCCTTCCACGCCTATTTACAGTAATAGGTGTCTCTTCCACTTCTTGCACATTTTTCATATCAATATCTTCCTTTTCCTTTGCTGTAGCCGGCCCTATAGCCTTCTTCTTATCCTTATTGGCTTGTTTGATGTCATTTTGAAGCTGTATAGCAGCTTGTTTTGCGGCCTTCTCCTCTTCTTTCCGGTGTCTTTTTTCCTCTGCTTCCTGCATCCGCACACTCTTATTAAAAGCCCTTATTCTCTTTCGTTCTTCAATCAAGCATTGTTTCTCTTCCTTCTCCTGCTGCCGACGTATCTTATCTTCCTCTTTAGCAGCTCTAGCAAGGCGTTGAGCTTCTTCCTTCTCAGCCTGAGCATTACGGGCTTGTTGAACCTTATTAGGACTGTAGAAGATTGCATTGCCATCCTCTGGGGCCTGAAGTTAAAGTTGTAAAGGTTTGCCACGCTTTCGCTTCTTCTTCTCATTCTGTAGGGCGTTTTTGACGCCCGTAAGTTGTAGTTTAAGAAGAATATTCTCGGTAGAAAGATGCATCATGGTATTATTTAATTTCCGGACCCTCTGGTCATAAACATCAGAAACCACTTGCTTAAGAAGCTTTTCAATACGACGCCAGTCTTCTGCCTTTAAAATAGATTGTGATAACTCACTAGATGAAGGTCTTTCATCTTCTTTTTTTGGTAAAGCGTGCCAAAACAATCTCCGGATCCCAAGGATGTAAACCAACTTTTTTCCATGAACTGTTAATATTTCGATTGAAAAAGCCTTGTTCCAACTTGGCCAAAAAGTCTAAAAAAGTCCCGCTTTGAAAGATGGCTCCATCCTTGACATTCATGCATAAATTCTTCCAGTTTGTTACTGTATGCCTGGGAAAGAGGACCAAAAAGACCAACATCAAGTGGCTGAAGACTGTGTGTTGAATGAGGTGGGTAAATAGCCAAAAAAGAATTTTATTCTTATCACAAAAGTTAATAAACTTCATAGAGATATGGGAGCTGTGACCATCAAGAATTAGAAGCCGCCAACGTCTTCTTGCCTTGGCTTTTGTTTCGCGGTCAAATATAGTTGTCAACCATGCGTATCCCAGCTCATCATTTGTCCAGCCACTTAGTGATGATGTAAAGAAGCAGTGGTGGTTATTAGGATTAAAATCCTAAAGCCATGTATCTTGAATATGTCCAGACACAGCCTGGTAAATTAGACCAGGTGACAGAGATGTCCCATCGGCGCAAATACAGGCAATTGTAGTAATCCACTCTCTATTTCCATCTTGAAGTCGTTGTTTAAGCCCTTCCTGCTCATACCGGCGTCGTGAAAAGATTCTTTTGCCTTTTAACAGCACTCCAATAAGAAAACCTTTCTCATCCATGTTGTACATATCTCCAGGCTAATCCCATATTCCTCAATCTTTCGGGCATAAGTTCAAAATATTGTGCATATTTATATGCCGAATCAGCCCGCTTGCGTGAGGAATCAATGCCGGTAGTATAGTGAGTAACAAGCTCATTATTATGTCTCTTTAAAAAGCGGTACGGCCATGACTTTCCAGGCTTAATTCCAGTAATTTCCTTGGCGAAATTTCGTAGCATTGAATGGGATGGTGGAAGGCCACGTTCAGTAAGAGTATTTATTAATTTAATAAGCTCTTTTGACTGTTGGTTGTTGAGGAGAGACTGATTTTCATGATGCTCTTGTAAATGGCTCTGTATACCGCGGTGGTGTCTTGACAGGGTTGACCGGTTAACCCCATGCTTTTCAGCTAATTTTGTATAATTTATTTTTTCTCCTGGTTTCAGGGATTCTATATCTGCAAGCGCTTTTTCAATTGAGTCCATATTGATGGTGTTGTAGCCTTCTGAAATGTGTGCAAAAAGTCGGTGTGTTGGCGAAAAGCGGGCGAGTGGTGAAAACGGTCATCATGTGATCGGGTACGGTATAGTGTTTCCGTAACAAGGCGCTATGCAGGATACCCCTATCACCACTCTATGTGAGTATCTATTTACAGCAAACTATTACTTCCCGAAAATTGAAGCCTCGTCGGGCCTGTGCTGGCCGGTGCCTGGTGTTCTGTTCTGCGGCCCTCGTGGCGCGCGACTTCGAAATCTCTTAGATGTCTCTGCAAAAGTCCAGTACCGCTCTTGAGATGCTACTGTAGTGCGCGGCATCTTTTAACCTGCCCTTACCGTGCGCTGCTCCTCCCAGTATATCTGAAATATTATTACACTTTCCCCGTAGTTCTTGTCGCAGCCCACTCAGCCACGGGCAATTAATCAGTACATGGACCACAGTTTCCGGTGCACCACATTCACACTATTTGTTATCTCGGAAGTCGTGTCGCATACCATGCATCGCAAGCCATAAGTGGCCTGTTTAGAGCTGCGTAAGCAACTAGGCTCGATTCCGGGGGAGCGAACTGTGGAGTCGGCGAGTGCGGAATAAAGGTAGGGCTGCGTTAATGCGGCGGAGGTGCCCCCCTTTATTGAGGCCCTCCATTCTCGTTCCCACTCCCAAGTGATTCTGTCTTGGGTATGTCCTTTTTCGCGTGGTAAACGGCGTTGAAAGGGTGCCTTTTATCTAGACCAACTGCTTCCTTCGCCAGGCGGTCCGCTGCATTATTTATTTCCGGGATTGTCACAGTGTCCCGGAACCCACTGGAGCCGTAGAGGGATTCCACTTGCTTTCAGCTCTCCAGCAAACTGATAAATAGCCTAGATAATTCGCTGGCCAGACTTGTTCTATGCGTTTACCTGTAATGCAGACATGC